TTTCTAGTTGTACATTTTTCTTTTTCAAACTATCAACTCTTGTCTGGATTTAGTCGGCGTAGGATATACAATGCTTGCTTTTTACCTGGAAGGAATAACGGTAAATGTTAGTCACGTGGTTGCCAACTCAACTGAAGCGTGACGATTGTTTAGATAAGGTATAGAGGCCTGCTCTCGAATTCCTTTTGGTTTATGAAGCATAACCAGTTGTGCTTAAGATTGGGTTTATGTATTTATTTTTAAAACTTAGTTTCTGAGCAAAATACCGATACTAGAAAACAAAACGATCAAATATATACTCATCCAGTTTCTACTCTTCTTGCGTGACTTAGTATTTTTTTTTTTTTTTGAACGAACGAAAGGCTTTTAGTGGAGTGGTGTATAACAGCACACGTCAAAAAAGAAGGGCGGGCGTATTTGATATTAACTGACGCCACAATCTGGGTCATATCTTTGAGTTGATCAGAGCAGTAGAGTTGTAAGGTGTTTATGATAACGGTAAATACAGGCCGTTTTTTTTTCTCGCATGCCAAGACACGACCCGGTTTTTTTAAATTCGGGGACATTACAGAGAGGGGGTGTTGGTGGTGTTTGCTATATTTACCTGCAACATAACGGTATATTTCACCTAGTGAAAGTTAGCAGGCGTGTTGGTTGCTAGTGCCGGTAGAAAATCAATATTTCTTCGCGCTAAATGCGCGTTACTAATAAAAGATCGATTCTAACGTCCAGTAATGGCTACTAAATTAAAAGTTTGTTCTGTTTATGTTGTGTAACTATTATCAATAACGAAAAAACTATGTTCCACTTAGTTTTTAAAATATTAATTTTGTAATTAGTTTAGAATTACATTTTTTCATAACGCTTAGATTCAAGAGCCTATGGGGCTGGGGAGGGAGGGGGATCGAATGTATAAATCGATCACTACCAATGTTCAGTTACCAATAGCTATCGGGTATTGAACACCACGGTAAAGCTTTGCGCGAATGGCACCGGCGAGCGGACGAGCTTGGAAAACAGTTCCAGTACCGCTATCCACCTTTCGATACCGGCCTATTGTCTCCCCTGCGCATGATTGGCTATCGGCCCGATCAGCGCCCCACTGCGCTGTTTGTGTGTGCGCCTATCTATGTGTATGTAAATCTGTTGTCAACGTCCTCGTGTCCTAGCTTGCCTTGACAACCTCGCGACAAGATCGAACTTGTTTAAAGTTCGATCTACAGCCAATACTATCACTATCTCGTTGCGTTAACATTGGAATAACCAAAAGGCCGCACTTGCTGTGGTTGGCAATAAGCTATGAATTTATAACAACACTCTTGGATTTGTATTTATTCCGTCCAGTATTTGTTTTAGTGAAGGATTATTTTATTTTGATAATCTTTAATCATGATTAAAATGGAGAGATTAGGGTTTACAACATACAGGGTGAGTGTAATTTATTTTCTTATATAGTGGGCGTTAACTTTTCTCTTTACTAAATAGGCTTGTTGCAATGTTTACTTAAAGCTGCCTACTGTAGTCTTTCAATTATGTAACTTAATTGTTAAAACATTTTGTGCTTTATAAATAATATTTCATTCTCCCCTGACGGATTATATATATATATATATATATATATATATATATATATATATATATATACACGTATATATATATATATATACACACACGTATGTGTATATATATATACACACACGTATGTGTATATATATACACGTATATATATATATATATACACACACGTATGTGTATATATATACACACGTATGTGTATATATATATACACACGTATGTGTATATATATATATATATATATATATATATATATATATATATATATATATATATATATATATATATATATATATATATATATATATATATATATATATATATATATATATATATATATATATATATATATATATACACACGTATGTGTATATATATACACACGTATGTGTGTATATATACATGTATGTGTGTATATAGATACATTTATATATATGCGCAATCATACGTTTACTAAAAATATACATACATACGCACATGTATGCATACATTTATATGTAGACATGTATATATTATATATGTGTGTATGTATGTGTATTTATATATACATACGTATACACTTGTATATAAGTGTGTATTTAAATACATACATATGAAAATAAACACCCCAACAACTTAACATACGATGTGAAAAAGTATTGTCTTTTTTTATTCGAGAATTTAGTATACGATTGTGACATCCCGACTCGCATAAACAGCTGAAATTCCTAGTTAGTTTTTTCCACCTCCGTCTTAGTCAGCAACCTTTGGTCCTCTTGTGTGCTGCTAATATCTTGTGGTCCAGGCTATTATCTTCTTAGTAGAAAAAGTCGTCACCCTTGACGTAGCCTGTATTTGTCCAGCTTGACATTTATTCAATACTTGTATGACAGTCTCCCGATGGCATTTTCATCCTATTTTTCTCTCCCGCTTTGGTCACTTAGTATAGTACTCAATTGATTTTTCCTTCGCTATTTATCCCATCCGATCCTTGTTTTGTTTTTCAGTAATTCCAGACTTTGATTACTTAGCACTGTTTTCAGCTCGTTTTTTTTCCCTGAACAAAACAAAGCTTCAGTTCAGGTTTCGAATAATAGTTTTTTTTTTTTAAATGTATAAATGACCTCTCTACACCCCCAACACACAAAATACGCTTATGCCTTTAAAAAGGAAAACTGTTAAACATTGAAAATGGTTGTTAGAATTAAGGTGTGCAATTTCAGCATACCACTTGAATTTTTATTTTCACCGAAGGATCGCCCATCAACGATGTTTTAGCCGCTTCCATTTCCGTTGTTACGTGTTGTCCCACACAAAATAAGATGCTCAAATGGTTACGGGCTTCTGCAGCCATACCCCTATAATGACCGCAAATAAACGTTTTCATTATATTTACATAAGAAATATTAAATACTTCCATAATTACCGCACATCGTTAAAGTCAAAATTTATATGACTGTATTTAAAACGTGTCATTTATTTGGTCGGCGATCTATTTTCATATTGGGGGGGGGGGGGGGGGGGGTATTGCTATGTCCTATGTGTGAAGCACAGTGCCTACTACGTTTACACACTTGACTCGCTCACATTTTTTTAAAAGTTGTATTACGGGAGGGTGTGGCTAAGTTGTGCTTTTTTTAACTGTAAAAAAAATTATTTTTGTAAACGTTTTTCTTTTGTAATTTGACTATAAACAGATATTAATAAGACGCGTTCTGTTGGGTTATTTTCTTAATAAATGGAAAGCAAATAGAAACGGTTGCATGTGTTACATTGTTTATCAGTGGAGCCCAGTGAATGAAGGGATTATGGCCGATGTTTTCTGTAATTAGGCGCAGAATCGCTAATTAACCATCCAAAACCGTGTAATTATTTTGTCGAATTTCAAATGCGCTTTTTTTTTCACTGTGTAGTTAATTTTTATTTTTTGATAAAAATAGCTATAAAATGTGCGTAATTTCCAATGCCGCCCCCGCCCACCCACACTTCAACCATCTTTTAACTTTGATTGAACGAAGTTTTAAAATACTAAATAAATATTGTGTTAGGCGATCTTGTATTTATTTTCCGATGTTAGTATTGAATTTCCCGTTAAATTATATTTCTCTTGTATGTCTGAGCATGCTGTTATTCTACAGTGAAATTATTAATGTGTTTTTTGTTTTGTTTTATTTTACATCGTTTTGTTGTGTGTTCAGGGTTTTGTTTGTGGCAGTGGCGTAGGCAGGGGGGGTTAGGGGGGGGTCATAACCCCCCCATAGACCTCTCGATATATATAAAAAGTATGAGGGTGGGTGCAAATCGAAAGTTTGAGGGGGGGGGTGCAAATCGAAAGTTTGAGAGGGGGGGGGGGGGTGCAAATCGAAAGTTTGTCCCCGGGTAAAAATTGGAACCCCCCCCCTTGAGACGATCCTGGCTACGCCACTGGTTTGTGCATTGTTTCTAGAAAGTCTGTATCTATTAACCGCCGGTCTTTTTTCCTTGCAAGCTAGCGTTGTTTTACGTGAGACAAAAATGTGTCTAGTTGAAGTAATAACATTTGAGATCATTTGAGTTGGAAAGTAACCTTTCAATACCAACTTTGTGGTGGATAAGTAGTATTGTTTTAAAATGAATAAAATAAAACAAAGGCTTCAAGGTCAACGAGTGTCGATAGCCGTAATGTGACCTTTGACCTACTTTACGTCAACGTTCCCTGAAGGTTTCTGGTAGAAGGCGGGACGTGTTGGTTGTGCGAGTAATTACTCGGTATTAATTAGTGTAAATTTGGTCCTTACGCACATCGATTGATAGCATGAAGAGAAAATTAGATTGGCGCGGAAAGTAAAGATAAAAGATAGTGGGGCTAATGGCTTGAGCTAGTTTGATCTGGTTAATGGCGCAATGTTTCAAGAAGCAATCTGGACTACGTTATATCTTGATTTCTTTACCCTGACGTAATCTACATGAAAGAAAATGTAGCACGCAGTCATTGCTTTTCTTTGTGGTTTCCCCAGTGATTGTTATATTTTTTTAATCTATTTAAAAACAAATAGTATTTAGTAAAATGTTGGCCCAGTATTTTTTTTAAAAAGCATCTTTTGTTTTACTTTGATTTCTTCCCTTTCGTTTTCTTATTACATCACAAAGAATTTTAATAATTTTTAGCCTGGATACTTGGTGTTGTAAAAAAATATTGCTTGTAACAACTACTTGAAATTTTTAATAGGAAAGTAAAAAGTTTTAGATTATTTTAATTTTATGGAGCATGCTCTGAAGTTCCTATTTCTATTTAATTACTTACATAAGAAAGAAAGCAAGCCTTTTCTCATTAATTTTGAATACTTCAAAAAGAAATATAATAGCTTTCCTATAGTTGACTTACAAATTAATATTTTACAATTAAGATAGTTAAATCATTTTAATTTTAGTAAATTTAAAGACAACTTTAAAATGATATTTTTCAGTTGAACCCCATCCTTAATACAGCCAGCTCATCTGGCATGAGTCCTGACTCACAGACCAATATTATTGGCAGCACAGCTTCAAGTCCATATGATGATGTAAGATTAAACTTTTTTTTTCTTTAATCATACATTTTCACACAGCAACTGAAGCTGTTTCATTGCACTTGCTAGGGAATGTACAATATCCTCACAAATAATGCTCCTTATTGATTATAGCTTTTGTTTTATTTTAGGCAATCACATCACCACCTCCATATTCACCACATGCAGGAACCTCATCTATGCCCACAGTGCCATCCAAGTAAGTTGTCTCAACATGTCATTTTCATTAAAATGAACTGGCCGTTTTTAACTGAACCTCTTTTATGATATTATTTTATTTCTTTTTTAGTACTGACTATCCAGGTGATTATGGATTTGAAATCAGCTTCTCTCAGCCTTCTAAAGAAACAAAGTCAACCACTTGGACAGTAAGTGAAAGTGATTGTAATTTATATTTATAGCAAATGTCAGATGAATTACTTAGCATTAGTAAAGTCTTATAGTTTACATTCTTATTATGCCTCAAAAAGAAAAGGAATTTAGGATACCTTTTATCTTACCATCTATCATACTTGTTATTGTTTATGAAAAAAAGTTTTAATGTATATTTAAATTGCAGTATTCTGATTGCTTGAAAAAGCTGTATGTTCGAATGGCCACAACCTGTCCAGTCCGGTTCAAAACAAAATCACCAGCTCCATTTAACTGTCTAATTCGTGCAATGCCACTCTTTATGAAACCAGAGCATGTCCAAGAGGTTGTTAAACGATGTCCCAACCATTCAGTTTCTAAAGAACACAATGAAAAACATCCAGCACCTGCACATTTGGTTCGTTGTGAGCACAAGCTGGCCAGGTATGTGGAGGACCAGAGCACATGCAGGCAGAGTGTCATCATTCCACACGAGACTCCCCAGGCTGGTGCCGAGTGGGTCACAAACCTCTTCCAGTTTATGTGCCTTGGTTCATGTGTGGGGGGGCCTAACAGGCGACCATTACAGATTGTATTCACATTGGAGCAAGATGGAAGAGTGCTAGGTCGTCGAGCTGTAGAAGTGAGAATTTGTGCATGCCCTGGGAGAGATAGGAAAGCTGATGAGAAGGCAGTTGTACCTGCTAAATCTCTGCCAAAAAATGGTACGTTTCTGAAATGTATTGTGTAGTTAATTTTTAAATGTTTGAGAAACATTTAAGAAATGTATTTATGAAATAATTAGTTTGAAATAATTTAATTTGCTTTATTTGGCAGGCTTAGGGTCACTTGGATCCAGATTGTCAGTTAGCACAGAAATGCTCAGTGTTGCAAAGAAAAGAAAGCTGAATGATGATGCTGAAGTCTTTACACTGACTGTAAGTTAAACATTTTCCATTAGGTTGGTAGATTTTAAAAAAATATTTGACTTTGATGATGATAATTTTAAGATTTTATTTGTTCAGTTTAATGAAAAATTGTATTGTATTTTGCTTTTGAATTAATTATAGGTGAGGGGAAGAGAAAATTTTGAGATGCTCAAGAAAATAGCCGATGCTATTGAACTGGCAAACATCATTCCACCTGAAACTGCAGAAGCCATCAAACAAAAACAGTTAGCAGTCCAGCGACAGTAAGTTTTTTTTTTTTTATTAAATACAAATGTATAGAGGTCAGTTTTTAAAAGTATTATTGGATTGTTGTTTGAGGGCCAGCGTGACTATGATATGCTGTGTTGGCATTTATGAGAAAAGACACCAGTTTAATGAAAATCATTCAATGATTCATTATTTTTAACATAATGTAGCCAAAATAATTACATATTTTGTGTTATAAGTTTGTGACATACATAAACCATTTAATAATGAATGAAATAGTTTTGGCAGTAAGGCAAGGAGAACAAATTACTTGCAACACTATTGCATGAAACCTCTAACTTACTAATAATTAAGTCGAACTATATTCAGGGAGGGGTCATAAATAGAAAATAGTATGTGTAAGATATACACTACCATGCGCAGATTATTTTCTTAATCCTGTGATCACACCATGAGAAATATCTTATCATTATTACATGACTTGTTTCTTTCTTGATTGAGATTTTAACTATATTAAAATAATGTTATGTGTGCTTTGATATTGTTTTCAGCTTTTATATTATAAATACTATGTAATACTACACAAGCTAATCAGCCACCTGCATATATTGAGCCAGAGCCTTTTATATCTGTAGTGCTTTTATTTCAATCTTCGAATACAAATGCAACATTTTTTGGTAGCATAAATTTTACATCACAGCAAATTTTAAGTCACCATTCTAAAGCAGGTTTAGGCTAAAATTTTATCTTTACTCTAAACCTAATGAGTTGTAAAAAAAAAAATAATACAGTGACAATTAAAATAAAAAAGAAGCGACATTATATAGGAAATAGAAAAAAAAGTTATGAGAATCAAATAGTTTACATTTTTTTTCGCTCTGGCTCATTGCAGGTGGTTGACTAGTCATGTGGGTCAAGAGTCCAAGGTGAAAAAGAGGAAGATGGTTTCAAAATCAGGAAAATTATTCAAGAAATAGAATTCACATACTTGCACATTTTCAATGGAAGACAAAGATATTCTTCGTGTACCTGCTGTATGACTATTGATAGGATATATTTGATTTCTATAGTTTTAAAAAGGGGGGGGGGATGCAGGAATCACTAAAGTAGTTGAACTAACTGCATTTAAAAATTTGATGGATAAAAAGTTATATGTAGTGTATTACATACTTTAAAAGTACACTCTAAAAATGATATTGATATATTTGGCTAGAAATTAAAATGTGTTATTCATTTTTTATGTATGATTTAAATTAGATCTGTTCTAACTAGATCTGTTTTATCCCTAATATGGGTCCTGTAAAAATGTAATTGGAAGCTGATATCTAGGTGTGGCGGGTAGGCTCAGACTCTTGCCTTATCATGAACAATATTCTGGTTAAGTGGTGGGGTTCTTAATTGCTAATCCAGGGTTAAAGTCTGTAGGAGATATTTCATGCCACCTAGCACTTATGTGCTCAAATATAGGGTTGTCACTAAAATAGGTGCTCAAAATAAGAAAAACATTTTATATGTGCATATTTTAATCTTGTGAGAATTATTGCCAAAAAATGTTGTACTACTTAAAACATAACTATATACATCCTTGTTTATAGTTTAAATACTTTTTATAGCCCTCCATTAGTCTACATAATTTAATGTATTGTCTGGGCTAAATAAAAGTACAGTAAATACTGGTTCATAAGAAGACTTTTTTGTGTAGTGGGGAAAGTAAGACAAATGTGTTTGTAATTGTTTGTTATTGTAAAAGCATCATTCTTAATAACCAAGTAGATGTTTCATTTAATAAACATCCAGGTTAACAATTAAATTAATTTAAAAAAAACTTTCTTTAATGTGCATGTCTCCTACTCGTGTGTCATAAGAGGAAGGTGAGAGGGTCTAGAATTACCCTGGTTTTCAAGCCTACATGACAAGGTAAAGCTAGTACCTTATTGCTTAGCCTTACTGTCATGCTAATAATGGCTTCATAAACATGTATAATAGTCTTCAATACAGTGGGATGGGGGGGAGAGATTAGTTATAGAATAAATACATACTGTATTTTGTGTGTATATATGTATATATACACATTTCTCATTTAAAATGACCATTGTTGTTGTTGTCAATGAGGCTATAAGTTTAAGACTTTTTTTTACTTGCCATACTACATTTCCTTTGGTAATGTGTACTTAAATTCAATGTAAGCTTTTCCCACTTATTCCTACTAGTCTTTTTAATTTAAAACATTTATTAAGGGATCTTAACATATTTTGTACATACTATCAGAACTCAACTATCCCCTTATAAATTCAATTTATGTTGATATTGAAGCTCTTTTTCCGTCCTAAAAATGCATGCCCAACATTATGTGTTGTATTTTTTTGTAAACTTTATTTGACCTAGCTAACTTAACTTGCAAACTGAATATGTATAATTATATTGTTCATTAATTTGAAAATAAATCACTCACTGCCAAAGACAGCAAACACTGAAAAAAAAAAAAGATACTGTATAAGTGAATCTGAAATGTATCTGATTGTAAATGCATTGAACCGATTGTGTCTAAGTAGGGTTACTTATTATAAAACTCTGAAATTAGTGTGTATAAATGTGCTGTAAAGTGCTTTAAGTTAAAATCAAAATATATATATAAAACTTTTTCCACAGTCTTCAACATTGTACTCATACATTGTTTAGTTAGGAATTTTTGTAATAATTAGTTTATTGTACTTTAGTACACTTCTCAAAGGAAGTCTATATTTCCATTATTTTTTCCATGATTTTAGTACATTTATTTATTTATTATTACATCAATTTATAAGAAGTCTAATATATCAGAATAGAAATCTTTTTTTGTTTTTAAAACTGGTCTTGAAAAATATTCATTTCACAAATGATTACACTAAAGTTTGTAACTTGAATGGACAAACGTACACATTTTGTTTTCAATTGCAGCTAGCAGAGAATGTTTTTTAAATTTTGATTCTATTGCATTTTAAAATTCTTTTGTATGAGACCTCCACACTCAGTGTCAAAATCAAACCTGTTAAATTTTGTATGGGTTCTTAATAAAGTAGAAAAAGGCTCATTTACACTGAGCTAACAATAACAAGACCAATGTATTATATATTAAGCAATATATTTTGATTGCTATTTTTTTTTAATCTGTGATATGTTGTGGTATTATGTCAATTTTATAAAATTTTTGTTAATTATTATGTAACTCATTAAGTCATTAACTATGTTCAGGTGTTAAATTTATTTTAAAATAGTTACAAAAACTATAAACATGATTGTTCTTATTTATCAAGAACGTATATATTTGAGATTTGCGGGAAATAGGGAAATTTTTTTCTTACAGACAAAAAAAAAATTTTGTGCCTTAAATCTCATTTGGGGATGTTGACTTTATTTAATGATCTGTTATTATATGTTAGTTAGAGAAATAAGGCTAAACCAGCAATCAAATAAACCATTAAAAAAAAAATTCACCTCTTATGGGGCATCTTGATTTACTTATAGAATCTATAAGTATTTTAATTTTCTTTTAGTTTAAAAATACTAACAAACATTATTTTATTTTCTGTGAAACATTGTCATGCTAGATGTTTACATGAAACTAATGAAAATAAATATTTTGAAATTTTTTTCTAAAATATTTTTGTTGTTTTATGTGTTATAAATATATATTACTCATGGTATGATCACATTATTAACTAATTGTTCCTTTTAAATTATGACTCGCGGGATGGGATAAGTAATTATTGCAAAAATTAGTACGGGTGTTATGAAACATCATTCTACGTAAAATAATCAAATAGTCATTGCATATCAAAATACTGTGGACTAAATGCATGTATTAATGAAAGTCTGCATTGTTCTTCTTGTTTGAAACAAATAATATAATCATAACATAAAATATAACATCAGTATTTCATGTTTCTAACCAGAAGTAATGGATTCAGTGAAAGTAGCTCTGACCATTCCGAAGCTTCAACTTCCACTACGATTAGCACTGATAGTCATCATCCTCATCATCATCCCTTGCCTTATGAGGATGACTTTAACGATCTGCTGAACAATGTCACAAGTTCCAATAGTCCACATGAACTGATGGATGGCTCTAGCTTTGCAGTTAAAAAGGAAGACATTGATGGTCTACTTAGTGAACCTACTGATAATTCTGTTTCAGGGTAAATAAAATGTCTAACTCATTTACTCAACTGCAGTGATAATTAAGTTTTTAGCCTTATGTTTTAGAGAACTAAAATAGTGATTTACTTTATTTCTCTTAAAGGTGGTTTATATTTCGTTGTATATTCTTCTCTTTGTCTGGGATATGTAAAATACATAATTTACTTGTAGAGTTAGCTTAATCTATTTCTGAAAGTGTAACTGCTTAAATGACCCAGCTTAAAAAAAATGCTCATATTTTAACTATATTATGCTAATTACCTAATTTTATTTTCCTCTACAGTTGGCTTGATAAATTAGGTCTTTCTTCCTACCTTGACAGATTTCAGCAAAGTGGCTATGACAACCTCTTTCAGTTGGATGATTTCAACCAAGAGGTAAATAAAATTATTTTGCAAAATTGCAATTTTTTTTCTTGCATACCTTGTAGATACTTGATAAAAGCATCATGAATATAAGTATGGAAGTTTATTCTGAAATTATTTTTTTCAGAATTTGGAGCGAATGGGAATCCCTGAGGCCCACAGAAGAATAATGTGGAAATCTTTGCTTGAGTTCCATCAAGCAAATCAAATGACAGATGTTGTTCAAGCTTTAAGAAGAAGCAGCAGCTCAAGTGAAACTATGCTTCTCCCAACACAGGTACATCTATATATTCTCTCACTAAACATTTTTTATGCCATCCATTTTTTTTTTTGGGTTGAAAACAAATAAGTGCTGTATGGGGGTACTAACAGGTTTTTTTGTGAAATACATTTCTGTCATACTTTAAAGTAGTAACTATTGTGATGAGTGTTTTTAAATCTTATTCTTTGTCTCGAGTTAATAATTTAGTCATAAAAAATTGTCCCCAGCCAAGCTCCAGTACTTCCCAGTCACAGCACAGCCAGCAAAGTGTATACAATCCTGGGTATTACGAAGTTACCCGCTACACTTTCAAGCACACTTTCTCAAGGCCAAAAAAATATTCCAAATATGAGTAATTTGTTTTAAATTTTGTATAAAAAAATTCTGTGTTCAAACTTGATTTTATATTTATATTACTATTTTGTTACATTTTTCAATGTTGAAAAAGGGCTGTCAATGCTGAATCTTTCTAGATAGAGTTTTTTTTAACAACCACAATTGCTAAATACCAATAAATTAAATGATTTCATCATAACAGTAGAGAGCTACACATTTTTATGAGGTCCTTGTTCTGTTTTCCTGTTATTGAAGCTAAAATTGTATATCAGTCTGGGATATGCATTGATAGTTGAATAGATAACCACAGAGCTGGAAACAATTGTATTTGAATCTCTTTGGTTTTTGGTGCTCTTTGGGCAGCAAAAAACTAGCACTGTCAATTTACTCATGTTTATTGGTCTGTACATATTTCCTATTAGTACTGTATATGAAGGAATAAATATTGGGTGTGGTTTCAAAGAAAGACATACATGTTACTTCCTTTATTCTAAGATCACAACAACAAAAAAAAAGGCTATAGATTATTTTAAATGATTGAATTAGTTTTATTATTAAATTATTAAAATGTTTATTTAATTTTTGTTTTAAATAATTTTATTACCTCATTGATTAAGAGGTTAACATTAAAAATTTTGTTTTGTAATTTTGCAGATGCATTTAACTTCAGGTTAAGTAGCTTTACTTTAAGTAAACCTTAAACTTAATTGAGATTAATAAGAACTTTTTGACACTTAAAATTTTAAATCAATCAAAGACTAAAGGTATACTAATTTAAAGCAATTTTATATTTTTTTAACTTCACCTTCCTTTATGTCATTTTCAAAAGTTGTATATACATTATTGATGTTAAAAATTGTTATGGGATAACTGCTGTAATCTCTGAATGATAATTATGACACAAGTTCTAAAAACTGTCAAGCCACTTGAATGCTTAAGTTTGGTTATCTAGTGTTGGCCAACATTTACTAATACAGGTAAACAATGCAGTTAGATTGGTCTTTGATTATTTAGTCTGTTGGCCAACATTGAAGTACTTATGCAGGTAAACAATGCAGTTAGATTGGTCTTTGATTATTTAGTCTGTTGGCCAACATTGAAGTACTTATGCAGGTAAACAATGCAGTTAGATAGTGCTCTTGTGATCTGATTTTTTTTTCTCCTTAATAGCCAGCAAAGGGAGTTTTTATACTGTATCTTGACTGTTTGTATTTGAGAGATTGTTTGGTATTTTTCTATTAAATAATTTTACTTGGCCAACTGTTCAAATTGATTGTGTAGTATTGCCATTTCAAAATTAAAAGGCACTATTTCATTTGGCCTTTGAATATAATAGAATTTATTTTATTTATATGCTTTATATCATACCATTAAATGCCTGTTTGAGTAGTAACACCATTTAATGGGAGAAATTTTTTCAAATGCTGGTATATATTAAATTAAATATTGAACATTAAAATATGCAACAGCATTAAGACTCACATACCAATGCTTTATCTTATTCAGCTGCTTTGTGAGACTTGCATATTTCACACATTCAAATTAAGAAAGTCAGTATTTTATTTTTAAAAATTAAATTGGATAACATTATCCTTTTAATGGAGAATTAATCTATGCAAAACTGCCTTAAAATGTAAAATTTTATGTAATTTATAGTTTTACTGAAGTTTTGTTTTAGGATATTTTGTAGTTTTTCTTAATTTAAAAAAAAAAAGTTTCCTTTATTGTCTGCTAAGAAAATTCAGGTTTTATTGTTCTTTAAAGTGTTGGAAATTTATTGCAAAACCACAACAGCCACAACTCTAAATGACTTACTAGTTTTTTAAGGGCAAGTAATTCAAAGATGTTTTTTAAGCCTTGTATAAGTATTTTATTCATCTAAATTTTGTGTTGATAAGCAGTGGATGTAACTAAATCATGATGCATAAGACACTCCATCAAACAAACCTCAATATTAACTTAATGGAAACTACCTAATGCTGGAAAGTTTTCTAGCTAAATTGTAAATAATAATTTTTGTATTATTTGTTCCTAAACTTTGAGAACAAATTATTTTTAAACCAGTTTAAGTTTGTATTATATTGTTACTTTCTATCTGTGCTAAAGCCATATTTCTAAAACTGTGATGTATGTGAGAATTGAAAGATAGTTTAGAATATTATTGTTACAGTTTCCTAAAAAAGTTATTTTTACCACATCTGTTACACATCCACACAAAAATAACACTTTAAACTACAGCACTTTTGTCTGCTCCTTATAACAGTTTTTATATATTATAGTATGTAGTTATTTTGTTACCATACTAATCATCTTATTTGATCTGAACAGGGAAGTCAGATCAGGTGCTTTAAATTCATTTAGTTCAATAATCACTTTTTCTAGATGTATAACTTGTTAAAATGTCTGTTTGACCAGTTGATTCATTTTTTAAGTCTATGTTAAAAAAATGTAATGCTTTAAATATATTTCTACTTAATGATGGGAAGTAGGGGGAGAAGCATTTAGCCATTAACATCTTTATGCAATCTGTCCTTACCTTTAGACGGGCGAGCCCATGTTAGAAGTTTGTTTTGCCCACTGATCCGTCCACTCTATGCCCAAACTACAAAGTGTTCACAATTTGCTTTATGTGTTCAATTGAAGCTCAATGACATATCATCCATCAGTTCTTCGTGGGATGGCAATGTTTTTTTTCCTCAATAGGTGGGTAATATTAATCCTGTTAACTCTAGTTAAAATGTACATCTCAACACAAAACTATGTCATTTATTGTTAATGTAAGTTAATTAAATTTACTAAAGGATATCTTCTAGAAGTGTCACCTACATTTTTTTGTATTTGTAAACGTGAAGCACTTTTTTTTTCTCCAAATATTTTTTCGAATGCTTCAGAACTGCCCTACTTGTTCAGAATTTATCCTTACACATGCTCCATCACTTTACATCTTTGTTGAAATTTGCTGTTCCACTTTAACCATTAACATTCCTATAAACTAAAGGTGTCTAACCAGCATTTATTTTTTAAATATTAATATCTAGAAAGATTTTAAATACTCTAATTATTAATTTTGTGAGGTGTAAGAAAAATGATAATAATTAAAACTAAAGGATGCTATCTTTCATGTAACCAAAAACTTTCCAAATTCACTGCCAGTTTCACAATGCATTTTGCCACTAGTTAGGATGATTATGACAGTATCACACATCTTATGTGTTCAGATGCTCATTTTGTCTCAAAACAACGAACATTTCTCAAACAAAAGCTAATTTAAATCCTGTCTTTTCTATACACAAAACATCTAATTTTATAAGCATACAACTTTTATATAAATTTTATTACGGTACCTTTAATAATGCTGGATGTATTTATTACACAGCTGTAAGAAAGATGACAAATTTTGCTTTATTATTGTGTGTTCTGCCATTCTTGTTCATTTAGAAATAGCTCTTGTATATTGCCAATGGTTTTATATCATGTACACCTGTGTTCTTGTGTCATGTCTCCAGTACATGCAGTACAGCAAAAGGAGATTTTGTAGATTAAAGTTTTTATTATAACATTTCTTGAGTTGATTCATTATGTAAAACCTGTAGCTTCAAAGATGACAACAGAGGAATTTACGTGTATCTATTCTATTGCTCCAGAGTTTTTTCCAAATGCCCTTCAGTCTGTCATAAAATGACTAATTTCTAGAACCATTCATCCAATTTCTTTTATAATTGTTATTCAAATTATAAAAATAACATTCCACAAACAACTTCACTGCTAAAGTGAAAATAATTTAAACTATATCAGTTTAAAATTTCTTTATTATCTATAAAACAATGAAATTGCAGTACATTATAGAACCCATAAGATTATAAAAAAAATGCTTACATTCTAAATGTAAATCCAGTAGTATAAGAGTGAAAATAAAGCTCAAAAGATTCACAAATTGTGACAGATGCTAGCTTGAGTGTTGACTCATTTTTAAGTGTGCTCAACTATTATGGGATCTTTAAAAAAAAAAAAAAAAAACTACCTCCTATTGCAAAATGCCTGGGTCTGACCTAGCTGACATAGAGTCTAATATTAAAAGGTAATGTGTGGTTCCTTTGTAGAAAAAACAAGGTATAAACAGCTTTGATCAACAACAAAATGTGGTACAAAAAGAAGAGAGGAATGTGTCAGAAAAAGAAATAGGATGGATACATTCAAGTTAGATATTGAGGTGGTGTTTAGAACTCTTAACGGAAGATACCAATGGCTTTTGTATCTTTGTACCAGCCCATGTGCTTCTAATTCAAATAGTTACACAGAAAGCTCAAGGAGGGGAAATAAGTAAAATATTTATACATTGAAGGGGTTCATACTGTTGATGATCAAGGGGAACTAAATACTTTCTACGGAAATTTATAAACTCTCATATAAATTTATAGCTGTTAAAATGAGAGCATAACTTTGTCTTTTCTCTATTGAAAAATAAACAAAGAAAATGCATTATTTTCATTACATATTTTAAAAGAGATTGAGATAAAAAATTTAGATGAAGTTACAAATTTAAATACTTTAATTATGCACACATTTTTTTTAAGTAGCAGAATTTGTTTCCACATATATCAAAATTCAAATCCCCCTCCCTGCCATGAAAATAAGTCAGATTTCTGTATACAGAAATATTTTTTTTTGTTTTTCATCAAAATCTTATACAGATAAAGGATGGATTATAAAACAAAGGAGTTTATATTAGACAAATGACTTGATAGGTTAGTCTAACATCCAAAATAAGTGAGAAACAATTCAAGCTATCAAAGCTAGAAATAGTGCCACAATTCAGAAATTAAATAAGAGCTTACATCAAGGAACTAACAATTCACGCTTTTGGGGCGGGGGCGCTAGCTAAAATGGTATTCACACCAACTAAAGTAATCTATTTGTGGTGCTTCGTTTATGTCTAAATCAACCTAGTAACCACACAAACACATGTCAATCAAAAATGATAAAATAAATGACAAACAAAAAACAATAACCTGAATGGAAAAAAAGAATATTGTAAAACTGCTAATGTAACAGCAATTCTCTACACTTCAAAGAATTTTTACAGTAAATTTAATTGATTACACTGCAATAGATCACAATTAAGTAATAAAAAGTATATAAAAAAATAATAAAATGCTAAATTTTGAAATCATATTTTGGAAGCAAGTCTCTAGACGTTAAAACAACTAAAGGGAGATGAAGAAATTATTAATATTTTACCTCCCTTAGTATACTTGTTAACATTTCTGTATTTAAAAAATATGCAATGTCAAAGATTTTAATTATTATTATTTTAACATACTTTTTCTAAAGCACCTGACTAAACTAGCTAGCTGGTTATTTAAGAGTAGAAAAACTTTCATTTTTTTTTCAATATGATGTAGGCTTACAATTGGGTCAAATTGTGGTGTGAATCTCGCTAAACCACTATCAGCCAACAACAATTTTAGACCAGAAATTAGTTCATGTTAGCATTTTAATCATAAACATCTATTCTCAAAACAGTAAAAATAATATATAAATGCAACATAATCTTTGGGTTGTATTACAAAAACATGTTTATGGTTTCACATATATTTTTAAGTTAAATAAAAAATGTATCCAGTAGCTAGAAGGCTAATGAAGAAAAATAAAAAAAAAATACAAAATGACAAAACACAATTGAAACGGCTGAGACAATTCAGGACTTAAATGTCAACACAACCTCTTGAAACAGAGGAAACTTTTTGGTACAATTGTATAACGAAGGCTGAGAATCATTCTAGTGGTCAACCAATACACACTACTGGTAAAATGAATTCTGTACAAACTAATTCTTATCCTCACTTTACCTAACATATTTTATCTCCAGTACCAAGTTTCCAAGACTATGATTTTTTTTCCCATAATCTAAGTAAAATAAATTGGATCTTATCTGAAGCGACTTAAAAATAAGCATCAAATTATTAATTTTTCTGGTAAGGAAATCCTTAATTAGATATCTAAATTCTATTTATTTCCGATTCAAGTTTTTAAATGTACTTGACAGCTACTGCTTGCATTAAAGATACTCTTTTTTTCACCTTCAAAATAATTTAAACATGGTCTCACATTACATATCAAAATTATATTATAAACTATTAAATACAGTGACAACTACCAATTTAGGTACATTTTTAACATCAAATTATTTTAGATGTTGATGTTATTCAGGTAAGACTGTTTCAGTTTGCTATAAAGATGTATTGGTTATTCCTGTTTGTGTGTTAGATTGATTTTATGGAAGAAAAAAAAAGCTGAAGATGTCTTGATAATCAGGTGTATTATGCAAATGTGGCTGAAGGCAACAGTGGTTGCAATAGTGAAAAGAAACAGAAACATATGGGGGAGACTATTTTTAAAAAAACCTGCCAAACTAACACTAGGAGTCACATGACATACTGGTCACATGACACAAAGGGTGGGCAGATGGCCACATGACCCATAGAGGGGTAAAGGTCACGTGACACCTGGGGTAAATGGTTACATGGCTGGTTAAAAATCACATGACACATTGTGGGGTAAGGGTCACATGACTCATAGAGGGGTAAAGGTCGCATGATGGGGTAAGGGTCACATGATGGGGTAAGGGTCACATGATGGGGTAAGGTCACATGACACCTGGGGTTAATAGTTACATGACTCATAGAGGAGTAAAGGTCACATGACTCATAGAGGGGTAAAGGTCACATGATGGGGTAAGGGTCACATGACATGATGGGGTAAGGGTCACATGACACGTGATGGCGTAAGGGTCAGATGTGACATGACACATGGGGTAAACAGTCACATGACAGTAGTCACCAGCATTGAAAGATCAAACTAACCAACCATCTCTAGAACCATCAGGTAGGTGCAATGTAGAGTATAGCAGATCTGTCATAAAAATAGAAACGGAGATTCCCCAAAACTGAAAAATGTTAAGTTAAAAACACTAAAACACACACACACTATTATGATATGTTTATTATGTGAGGACATAAAGTGGAATGTTGTAAACCGTCATTCATCCATATAATTCTTACTTTAGGTAGTATTTAAACTTTAGGTAGTGTTCACACTGTAGGTATGTTTAGAAAACTAAAAAAAGACAAGAATAAGCTTATACTACTAGAATTGGACTGCACTGGATATGTCAAAATAAAATCTGGCTCTCCTTATACCACCTGGCATATACAATTTTTTCCCACTTTACCCTGTTTTGCAGTACATTTTTAAAAAATCTGTCACAATGTATTGTGATCAACACAAGCACAAATACTAAACTTAAGATACAAGTCAATCATACAATAAATTACAAATCTTTTAATAACTTCTTTCATTAAACAAAAATCTACTAATTAAAGAAAAACTTTCCAGTGTAGTACTGTCCCTTCTGTTCATGTAAATCTTTGTTAAAAATGATTAAAGAAGTATTTAACAATTAATATTAATTTTAGGATACAATAATCAATGCACTAAAAGTTGATATGTAAAAAATTATCAAAATTTAAATTAAATGTTTTAATTTTCAAATGAACACATTACAATTCAATTAAAAAAACAAAACAATTTTTTCACTGCAAGCACAACCTTTACATTTTGTATGCTATAAAAAAGACATCAATACCTGCTAGAAAATCACATTGCATGACAATAAAGTTCAGAAACTTTTTAAAAGTTCATACTTCTGGTCACATAATCCCAGTATAATCCAACAGAGATTGTTCATAAATGTCACCATGCTATCTAAGCTGACTGTACCATAATGCTACAAAAACACAACCATAATTCTAATGAAATTTACATTTTTTCATGATTTAAAAAAAAAAAAAACAACTCCCTTTCTTAACACCCTACCTCCCCCACGTCACAAAAAGTCAGCACTTCCTACAAGTGCATGACACCATTTATGAACAATCTCTGCGTATTACAACGTATCCTTAAAATATTAGGTGAACAGTTTCTAGGTACAGCTGACATTCAACAGCAAAAGACTTGTCTGGAAACCTTAATCACTAGTTACTATGGTAACAGCACAGATTAAAGAGATTGTTTTATAGAAAAAAATTGTGCAGAAAAATATCAAAGAGAAGTGGTTGACAACTAGGTGGGGTTTGGGTGGTGGAGAGGATTAGAAATACATGAGTTACATATATATTCTAGTCTAGATGGTGGATCTAGCCTCTAATGCTGGCCATTAGTGGTCTTTTCTTTCATTCCCAAACTTGTACATGTTTTAATTGATCCCCAAATGACAAGTTAGAGATGACAACTGGCTTAGCTAATTAAGGAACAACCTTACTGACCACTGACAAGGCTAGCTGACCACTGACAAGGCTAGCTGACCACTGAAAGCCAAAACTTGTCCAACTTTTCTAGAACTACATAGTGTAGAGGTCAAAGGTCAAGTATTTTACTCTAACATTGCACTCAAAATCTACACATGCTGATGCATAGACATTTAATGTGCCTATCAGTGGTCTCACAAGACATACAGCTAGCCACAATAAGAAAAGTAAATGAGACACTGACTGGTTTGATGGTATTGCATAGGTGAAACATGAAACCAACAGACAGTTGGTTAACAATCTTACATGATAGACAGGAGCATACTTGTGCCACAAAAGTTGCAACATACATGTGCCATGGAATAAGTTGCAACATACATGTGCCATGGAATAAGTTGCAACATACATGTGCCACAGAATCAGTTGCAACATACATGTGCCACAGAATCAGTTGCAACATACATGTGCCACAGAATCAGTTGCAACATACATGTGCCACAGAATCAGTTGCAGCATACACGTGTCACATAATAAGTTGCAACAAACATGTCCCATGCAATAAGTTGCAACATACATGTGCCACATAAACAGCAACATAAATGTGCCACTGTTGCAGCACACATGTGCAATTGTAGCAACATGTATGTGCCACACAACTCAATACAACTTGTCACATAACATGATGATGTTTCTATTGCCACATTTAATTAAAAAGTTCACATTTTTCTATATCTTACATCAGTTGGGTCAAGACACACAATTAGACATGGTCTACCCTGTCTAGATACAGAGAGAAGAAATAATCTCTCTAATGGTGGTCACTAACTGTCCACTTGAATCCTGGTCACTACTGGTGTCCATGACAACATGTAAACATCTTATACAGGTCTGGTGTTGCTCTACAACTATAGAAAGTTCAGTGAGGTCAACTAGACACATGATGTATGGTGTACACATAATGTACACCTGATAACTAGACACATGATGTACAATGTACACATAATGTACACATAATGTACACCTGATAACTAGACACATGATGTACAGTGTACACATAATGTACACCTGATGTTCACCTGATAACTAGACACATTATTCTGGTGTCAACTTGGCTGTCTAGTTTGGTGTTATGTTCTGGTGTAAATTTGACAGTGTCACTGTTCACTATAACTAGTCTATACATACACATCCTCACTAGTCCATAGAGTGTTACTAGTTCAAATGTACAATCACTAGTCTAAACACTAACACTAGTCTATCAATGCAGATTAGCCTCACCAGCCTAGGCGCTACACTTACAGATCTCAATCTGTCAATTGAATTAAAAAATTTGTCTTTAATTTGATGTAATGAAGTTCAAAAATTTCTAGTTGCAGTCTTAAATATAACTTGCTCTTGTCAAATGATTAAAATTCATCATTTTTTGTGTTTGGATTGTAGGTTTAGTGGACAAAGAAAGCTGTTGCAGCTTTTCATGTTGCACACATTTTTTGGGGCTTGTTTTAGATCAATCATTACAAACTTGCAAAAAAAAAAAAAATTTCCATTGCACATTTCAAATGGAAAAAATTTTTATATGATTACCTCCCCTTGGTATTATGGTTTACATTGAGTGAAAAAGGTGGATATATAATTTGTTTTAGACAAAACAGTTTTCAATCTCAAACTTGCAGACCTGAACCCTTTGTTAAAATTGCTTGCAGTGGTTGGAAGAAAGAAGTCACAGTGTCCTTGAGAGGTGGAGAAGCTGTGTAAGCTATTGGCACACCTTTTTTCTAACTTGCAGTTGGCACAACTATTGTTGGCACAGTTCAACACAAACTGGAGCAAATGATTAATTTGATTTGTATGTCTCTAATGCATCAAGGTGATTGTTAAAAAATTGAACAAAAAAAAAAAAAGATTGTCTTTTTCTTGTCTTTAACCCGTTTTTGCTTTCTTAGAGGAACTCTCTGTGAAAAAAAATTAGTAAAAATTAATTTAACAAAAAAATTAGTAATCAAATAAGAAACTGTAATATTTAAATATGGATGTTATAGTACAAGTGAAAAATGATATTGAGGTGGATGAGGAACTTGCTAAGATGGATTTAAGTGTTAATTTTAATAGAAGGTGAATGTTATAGAGGATGTTGAGTTAAGTGTTTCAAATCTTTAAATGAATTTTTTTGTTGAGTTTCTCATTACTAATATAGCAACAGAGTATTATTAACAAAAAAACCTTACTCTATTTATAGTAATATTTCTTTATACAGTTGTTGCCCAGATCTGCAACCACAATCCTGAAGTCACTGATGATGGTCAGGCCATTGGGCCTCTTGAGCCTATCCGTGCTGCTGTCTATAGAGTACAGCAGCTTGCCGTTAGAGTGGAACACGTGCACGAAGCTGCGCCCGCTGCAGGAGCCTTTGTCCTTGGTGGCCCCACTGCTGCTGGACGTGGCGCTGACCTTGTCGGACTTAAATGCCTTCTCTGTGCTAGTGGCCAGGATGTTGCCGCCCGTGTCGACTATTATCCCGCCGTACGAGCCTTCACCAGAGTCCACGACTTTTCTCGAATATTTCCCGTCTTTGGTGAAAATTTGTATCCTGTGGTCAGCAACCAGGATCTCATCACTCCTGCCAATACAGATGGCGTGGATGTCCTTGAACTGACCGTCCTTGTCGCCCTGCGAGCCGAAGGTCATGACCAGATTCCCGGCCTGGTCAAATTTAAAAACTTTGTGGGCGGAGCTGTCGGCCACAATGATCTCATTCCGAGAGTTGACGGCAATGTCGATGGGGTCAATAAAACCTGGGCAGGTAAACTGTTTGACCTTTGACCCATCCACCGGGTCCAAGACGCTGACGAACTTTGTCCGCCAGTTAATGACAGCAATGTGGCCGTTTGGCATGACGGCCATGCCAGTGGAGCTTTGGTTCTCCACCCCAGTAGGGCCGAGGTGCCGCAGCACGGAGCCGTCCTTCCCCATGACTTTGATCCTGCTGTTGCCAGTGTCCAGGACGTAGACGGTGTCCTCTGGTCCAGTGGCCAGCCTTGTTGGCTGGTTCAACTGGTCTTCTCCTGAACCTTTAGAGCCAAACCTCCATATAGGTTCAATATGCTCACTCACGTCAATCATCAACGGGCTGTCTTTGATTGGCCGGTTAAATACACTGATAGACATTTTTAACTTCCCTGGTTTTGTTGGTATATACAAAACCTCGTAAGACCCGTCATCATTGTCCTTCACCTTGGAATCAACCAACTCCCCTTTTTCGTTGCGCAGCTCAACAATGATCGGGTCTCCGCCAGAGGAGCGGGGGTTACCATGGTAATCGACAGTGTGGATCTTAACAGAAGTTCTTAGGTGAGCCGTGGCTTTCTTGGCATCCGCAGTGGTGAGCGCGGGGAATGTGGTGCTCACGCGGATGGCCCCAAAGTTGCTGACGGCCTTGGCGATCTCCCTTAGGGCGTCGTTGTGCTTGTACTCGTACTGGAGGAAAGAGTTTTCTCTGGGCTCAGACAGGGTGCTGGTGGTGTCCAGCTTCTCGTTCAGGTCGCTGATCTTCTTGGTGATGTTCCTCACCTCCACCTGGGGGGGGGGGGGGGGGGGAAGAAGGGCAGGGAGACATTAGACATAAGCCATAGATAAAATGCCAAGCCTGACATGAACAAAGCCCCCATTGGATAAGCCATGCTTGAACTAAGCCCCAGATGAACTAATTCACAAAAGAACTAAGCACCATTAACTAAGCCATGCTTGAACGAAGCCCCAGATGAACTAATTCACAAAAGAACTAAGCACCATTAACTAAGCCACACTTGAGCTGGGACCCACAAAAACAAAGCCCTCTAAGAACAGAACCTCACATAAAATACAGTCAACAACAAGAGTTAAGTCCCTAGAATTAGCTTGACTGGATTAATTCATACTTGAACACATCCCTGGCTTGACTCACCTGGTACTGTAAACCATCACATTCCAGCTGCACCTTCTCCTTCTCCGCCTGTATCAGGTCCAGCTGCTCCTTCAGAATTGTCTTCTTCTCCTCTCTGATCTTCCTCACCCACTGCAGGCAGTCGTGTCTTCGTTTCTCTATCACAGCCATTACATCCTGGAGCAAAACATTCACTTGTTAAACCTTTTAAAATCCAACACCAAATATTGTTGCAAGAACCATATTTTATTTTATTTAGTATACAAATGCTAAATGAACAAATAAATTGTTTTGCTGTAACTTGATCACAAACAAAAATGCATTAAATTCTTTAAATAAAATTGAAAAAATATTTTAAACTAATTAGATTCTAAAGTGTAAGAAAAAAAAATTACCTAATTCTTTTAACACATTTTTTTAGTTATTTGCATATAAGCAAAGAAAATTGTATTAATAAAATTCCTCAAGGAAATTGTTTTTCAATAATTAATATAAGCAAAAAATGTATTATTAAATGGACCCTACAAGAGAAAATGTATTACAGTAATTAGACACAAACAAACAATTATTTTCTCCCTGTGAAAGACAGAGCACAGTGCAGATGTAATGCAAAACTTTATTGTGGAAATAGACTCCAGGATTTGCTACTGCGGTTTTGTTTCCACCCTCCTACAGTGTCAGGCTTCAAGTTTCACACAATTATTTCTACATGATCAAGTCAAAAAATATTTCTACATGATCAAGTCAAAAAATATTTCTACATGATCAAGTCAAAAAATATTTCTACATGATCAAGTCAAAAATTATTTCTACATGATCAAGTCAAAAAATATTTCTACATGATCAAGTCAAAAAATATTTCTACATGATCAAGTCAATTCTTCTTCCTCCTCAGCAGGTTATTTCAGTTTGTAAAATAATAATTTGTTTACCTCATTTAATTAAAAAAAAATTGTATCTGATTGAAATTTTATTTCGGTTAAAATATCAATTTTCAAAATAATTAAAATCAAACAAGGAAGTGGATAAATATTTTATATTAACATTGACACATGTGGGGTTTGAAGTAAAAAGTTTTCTAGATTTGAAACAATTTGAGTGAGTTGGTTGATAATTATTAGAAGATGAACTAATTTTTTTTCTAGGAAAGACGAAGTTAATGTTAGAAGTTAATGTTATGCAGCCATCTGCTGCTAGTCATGTGCAAGGTGTGGTGGCCAGATTTTTTCAAACATTTGAGTCTTTGAATATGTGGGGATCATGTACAAAGTGTACTGGCCAGATTTTTCAAACATGTGAGTCTTTGAATATGTGGGGGATCATGTGAAAAGTGTTGGCCAGATTTTTCAAACACAAATCTTTGCATACGTGAGTTAAATACAGTAACATTTCAAATTTCAAATCTAAATGATAGTTCAACATCAAACATAAGTTATAGACAATTCTCAAGCTTGTTAAACCCTATCTTAACACTGGCTCATAGATCCAGATACACTTAGGAAGGATGCTGGCTATAGAGCCAGACATGCCCTGGACTGGAAGCCCCAAGACAAGCAAAGCAGGGGTCAACCCAGGAAGACATGGTGACGCAGGGGTCAACTAAGGAAGACATGGCGATGCAGGGGTCAACTAAGGAAGGCATGGTGATGCAGGGGTCAACTAAGGAAGGCATGGTGATGCAGGGGTCAACTAAGGAAGACATGGTGATGCAGGGGTCAACTAAGGAAGACATGGCGATGCAGGGGTCAACTAAGGAAGGCATGGTGATGCAGGGGTCAACTAAGGAAGACATGGTGATGCAGGGGTCAACTAAGGAAGACATGGCGATGCAGGGGTCAACTAAGGAAGACATGGTGATGCAGGGGTCAACTAAGGAAGACATGGCGATGCAGGGGTCAACTAAGGAAGACATGGTGATGCAGGGGTCAACTAAGGAAGACATGGCGATGCAGGGGTCAACTAAGGAAGACATGGTGATGCAGGGGTCAACTAAGGAAGACATGGTGATGCAGGGGTCAACTAAGGAAGACATGGTGATGCAGGGGTCAACTAAGGAAGACATGGTGATGCAGGGGTCAACTAAGGAAGGCATGGTGATGCAGGGGTCAACTAAGGAAGGCATGGTGATGCAGGGGTCAACTAAGGAAGGCATGGTGATGCAGGGGTCAACTAAGGAAGACATGGTGATGCAGGGGTCAACTAAGGAAGGCATGGTGATGCAGGGGTCAACTAAGGAAGGCATGGTGATGCAGGGGTCAACTAAGGAAGACATTGTGATGCAGGGGTCAACTAAGGAAGGCATGGTGATGCAGGGGTCAACTAAGGAAGGCATGGTGATGCAGGGGTCAACTAAGGAAGACATGGTGATGCAGGGGTCAACTAAGGAAGGCATGGTGATGTAGTGTGCTAGAGGAGGCCAAAAGGATCAGAAGGAATTGGGAACAGCTGAAAAGAGTGGCAGGACACCATGGAGAATGGGAAGCTAGAGGCCCTATGTACTGCAAAGAAGGAAAAAGAAAACTGATCATGTTGATGACAACACTGTCTCTTAGACTCAACACACTATGCAATGACTTGAAAGTATCAATGCACATAACTTTTACTGTGGATGCTAAGCCATGGAAAAAAATAATGTAAATTAAAAAGTAAAATCAATAGTCTATTATACATTTTTTAAAGGGCTGTTATTGATTTTTCTTTTAGAAATTAATTAACTTGACTAAATGCATGAATTAACTTGTTAGACTCAGTAGTATCAGATTAATGTTAGTTCAAGTTAATAGTTTTAGCATTTTTCTATTAGAGGGTACCTAATGGCCATGGCTCATCCTTCTAGTTATTCTGGGTTAGGATTAAGGTTAAGTTGTGTGTAAGGGCTAGTATGAGTATAATTAGTTAGAGCTGCAAAAAACAGTAATCAAGTGGTAAGGGAGACTATCAGGTGGTGGAGTGTGGGTCACCATCACCACACTGTGGTGTGTGAGTCACCATCACCATACCGTGGTGTGTGGGTCACCATCACCATACTGTGGAGTGTGGGTCACCATCCCCATACTGTGGTGTGTGAGTCACCATCAAAAGGATGTAGTGTGTGGGTCACCATCACCATACAGTGGTGTGTGGGTCACTACCAATGTGGTGTGTGGGTCACCATCACCATGATGTAGTGTGTGGGTCACCATCACCATACAGTGGTGTGTGGGTTACCATCAACATCATGGGGTGTGTGGGTCACTATCACCATGATGTGGTGTGTGGGTCACCATCACCATACAGTGGTGTGTGGGTCACTACCAATGTGGTGTGTGGGTCACCATCACCATGATGTGGTGTGTGGGTTACCATCAACATCATGGGGTGTGTGGGTCACCATCACCATAAAGTGGTGTGTGGGTCACCATCACCATACAGTGGTGTGTGGGTCACCATCACCATACAGGGTGTGTGGGTCACTACCAATGTGGTGTGTGGGTCACTATCAACATGATGTAGTGTGTGGGTCACCATCACCATACAGGGTGTGTGGGTCACCATCACCATACAAGGTGTGTGGGTCACCATCACCATACAGGGTGTGTGGGTCACCATCACCATACAGTGGTGTGTGGGTCACCATCACTATGATGTGGTGTGTGGGTCACCAGCACAAGGCAGTAACACAACAAGGTAGTAAAATGTTTTTTGATTTTGTAGAAAAACTATGTGGACTAATGCTGGATTTCCTTAATCTGTTGGTGGTGGGGTGGGAAATAACATTTTGACTTGAGAACTAGGTGTATAGCCTAGGGGTGGGGGTGATATACATGATTGTAGGAAAAAAAGTCACAGGAAAAAAAAACACAGGAAAAAAAAACACAGAAAAAAAGTCACAGGAAAAAAAGTCACAGGAAAAAAAGTCACAGGAAAAAAAGTCACAAATATATATTTGCATGATATTTGTTAATACTTTTATGTATTAAATATTTAGAGAGTGCAAATTAACTTAGGATTAATTAAATGTAATGTAATGTGTGTAGGCTGTATACGCATAGGAATTTTTATAATTCATCTAAAAATATTTATTATGAAGTATGTAGATTGTACTTATGTTAAACTTAAGATTAGTAGCATTTAATAGAATGCTTCTAAGTCCACAGTTTTTATCGTGTGTTTTTTTTAATACCAACATTAAATTACCGTGAAATGGTAAGTTCGTTTGACTTGCTGCCCTTGACTCATGGCAACAATAGTTATATTTAGTTGAATCACCTTTACTGCCCACATTTATCACGCTCATTACATAAAAAAACTTAGGATCAAAACAGAAAGCCGACAATGTTCAACGGCTGTCATTGATGCGTAACGTCAACAACACAAAATATGTTCGGTCAATGCCTACTGAGGAGAGGCCGACCAGAGAATAGCCTACGGCAAAATTTGCCTAAATTTCTTTTATAATTAACTTTTCTACCGCGTATTTAACTAAATACGTAAAAAGTTGAGATTTTTGAGTAAATTATCTTAGAGTATTTCTTACTTACAATTGTTATAAATCATAATGCTTTTAACGTCTATAAATAATTTATGCTATAAAAAATACAACCCACAACAATAAACATACACAATTTTACAATTCTTAACAAATTAATAAAAATATTTCTAAAAAGATTTTTGTGACTTTTTTTCTGTGACTTTTTTTCTGTGACTTTTTTTCCTAGCAAAAACTGTGACTTTTTTTCTGTGTTTTTTTTTCCTGTGACTTTTTTTCCGTTTACCGATATACATATGTAAATAACATGAGGGTGGGGGAGATATACCTATGTAAATAACATGGGGGTGGAGGTGATATACCTATGTAAACAGCCCGGGGGTGGGGTGATATACCTATATAAACAACCTGAAGGGGTGGGGGTGATATACCTATGTAAAACTGGGGGTGGGGTGATATACCTATGTAAACAGCCCAGGGGGTGGAGTGGGGGTGATATACATGTGTAAACAAAGAAAAACACAAGCAAGCACCGACCTGAAATGATCTATTTATAGCATCCAATGTCTTATCCACAGATAACTCCAGCTGCCTAAGCTCGTCAGACACAGTCTCATAGGCAGAGTTGAGGTTCTTGATGCACAGATGTGCCTTGTACAAGAGAATCTCCGACATCCTCTTGATGGCGATGGCGAAGGGGATGACCGTGTGCTCGCTGGCCCCGCGGCCGATGTGGTTGCCGTCCACGCACTGGACGCAGAAGACGATGTCGCACGTCTCACAGAACAGCAGCTCCTGCGCCGTGTGTACGGAGCACTTGGGGATGACGTCCCGCCGCTGTTGGGCCATGAGGTCGAGAAGCTGGTTGACGATGAAGGAGGGAGGGAACGAGGCGACTCCGCCTTGGGGGATGTGAATGTTCTCCCGGCATATCGGACAGCGGAAGGAGCCGGTGTCTAGGGTCTGGGCGGCGATGATCCTCTCCAGGCAGTTGCGGCAGACAGTGTGGGAGCAGGGGAGGAGCTTGGGGGTGCGTTCCTGGCCGTCGTAGGTGCAGAGACAGGTGCCGCAGGTGAGGAAGCTGTCGTTGAAGTCGTCATAGTTGATTGAGACTGTCTCCACCAGGGTGGATGACATCATGGCTGCAAGGGGACGCAATAGAAAGGGAGACGATTATTATCACTTTAAAAAAGTATTTTAAAAATTTAAAAAATCCCCTTGATATTTTAACAACTTAATTTAGGCACAATTAAAAGGCGAAAAAGCTGGAACAAACACATATTCTTAAAATTCGTTCAAAATATATTTTTTAAAGTAAAATATAACAAAATTTAATATACTATGTCAGTATTTGTATTAGCGTAACTAGAGCCCTGTGAAATAGCTAAAAGAGAAGGAAGAAAACAACGTGACCATGAATACAAGAAATATGAAATATGATATCCACGGCTCACCGTAACCCACTTGTATTGATATTACAGTCTGTCGTCGCCATTTTATGTTGACTCTAAAACAGCACTCAAACAAGAACAATACGCCTTACCATTAAACTAAAGGAATTTTATTTTTAAAAAAAATTTAATCTCCTAATTTAACTTCCCTAAGAAAAAAAAAACTATGCGTCAGAACGGTGACTAAAAAAATAACAACAGAAACCACGAATTTAAACTCCACATTGCGAGTGATCTAGAAGTGGCGAATTAAAAACAACACAGGCTAGATGTCCCTGATGAACAGGTTGCACGTGTGGTGCTGCTGTATGAAGTGAGCCGTTACAGCCTGCAACAGCTGGGCCTGTTCTACATGCTGCGCAGTATTACGTCAACATTCGGTGTTTAGACCGCGCCACTAGTGTCTAGTTAACGAGAGTTAACGTTAAATACAGGGGTGGACTTGGTGCTGTTCACATACAGGCTGTAGACGAGTGGGGGGGGGGGGGGAGAAATTCGTGTACGTGATGGGGGAGGGGGGATCATAAGTTACGCGGTGTATATGATGGGGGTCATTTGTCAAGCTCAGTATTAGATGGGGGTCATATGTCAAGCCAGCCCGTGTATCTGATTGGGAAGGGGTCATAGGTCAAGTCAATGTATCTGATGGGGGTCATAGTCCAGACACCTGTAAATGATGGGATCAGAGGTTAGGACTGTGAACCTAACGGAGGTCATAGGTCAAGCACGTGCACCAGGTGTGAGCCAGCACGTGATGATGTTGACAGCAGCTGATGGCAGCTACAGCTTGGGTTTTTTTTTTATGCAAATTAAAGTGCAACGTAAAAAAGAAAGTTTTTAAAAAAGTATAATATCTATGTCTGGACATTCGCCTGTTGATACATGAACTCACTCAAGTAACTAGAGTGTTGGACTGGGGCAAATAAAACCTCGTACAAGTTAACCCGCCGTCACTGATACAGCGAATCTAATCGCTCTATTGAAGGTCCTTAACTCACAGTGCTATAGACCTTTACCTCTACACAGTGCCACATACAAAGGTAGAGATCCATAGAGTGTCTAACTGCAAGTTCTCTGCCATACTGGACCACGTATAAACATGTACGGACTGTCCCACAGTAAGCAGCCAATATTGATCTTGATACGTGCCACTCATCTATAGTGGTAGCACTTAGAACAATAGGACCAAGGAACAAGAGCCGGCTAGAACAATACCTAGAACAAAACGTGCTCTACGTTAATCTTTAGTTCTGGTTCCAGCTGAACAGCTAATGGACGCCTGACACGTACACCACAATGGCGCAGGTAGACCTTTTATGGTGGACGTGTGGTGAGTTCAATACAGCGAGCACTTCAACACACATGCCGTCACTGATCGAGGGTTCAACAGCTGGGTACATTTACAGTACTCAATAGCTGGGTCCATTTACAGTACTCAATAGCTGGGTCCATTTACAGTACTCAATAGCTGGGTCCATTTACAGTACTCAATAGCTGGGTCCATTTACAGTACTCAATAGCTGGGTCCATTTACAGTACTCAATAGCTGGGTCCATTTACAGTACTCAATAGCTGGGTCCATTTACAGTACTCAACAGCTGGGTACATTTACAGTACTCAATAGCTGGGTCCATTTACAGTACTCAATAGCTGGGTCCATTTACAGTACTCAATAGCTGGGTCCATTTACAGTACTCAACAGCTGGGTCTGTGTACTCCACAGATGGGTACATTTACAGTACTCAACAGCTGGGTCTGTGTACTCCACAGATGGGTACATTTACAGTACTCAACAGCTGGGTCTGTGTACTCCACAGATGGGTACATTTACAGTACTCAACAGCTGGGTCTGTGTACTCCACAGATGGGTACATTTACAGTACTCAACAGCTGGGTCCATTTACAGTACTCAATAGCTGGGTCCATTTACAGTACTCAACAGCTGGGTCCATTTTACAGTACTCAACAGCTGGGTCTGTGTACTCATCAGCTGGGTCTGTGTACTCAATAGCTGGGTCCATTTACAGTACTCAACAGCTGGGCACATTTACAGTACTCAACAGCTGGGTACATTTACAGCACTGAACAGCTGGGTACATTTACAGCAATCAACAGCTGGGTCTGTGTACTCAACAGCTGGGTACATTTACAGCACTCAACAGCTGGGTCCATTTTCAGTACTCAACAGCTGGGCACATTTACAGTACTCAACAGCTGGGTCTATGTACTCAACAGCTGGGTCCATTTACAGCACTCAACAGCTGGGTCCATTTACAGTACTCAACAGCTGGGCACATTTACAGCACTCAACAGCTGGGTCTGTGTACTCAACAGCTGGGTCCATTTACAGCGCTCAACAGCTGGGTTTGTGTACAATCCTCCACACAAACTGACTTACACACGCTATAAACGTTTAGTGACCTCATTCACCAGCAGTCACACAGTGCTACACTTTCTTGTATACAGCTAAGCTTTACCCTAATCCATAAAACCAATAGCTTAATCTGCGAGGGGAAAGCCGGCAAACACCGGCTCTACGGCTGGTACCCAACCATTAGTAGATAACTGAGTAAACGCCACACAGAGATACGTGGAACGGCACGTACATTGCCGGTTAATGGGGGGAGGGGGGGAGAGGGGAGAGAGGACGACAGTATTCTTACCACGATCGTCATCAATATCACCCCCCCCCCCACACACACACACACACACAGTGACACACATACACAAACAACGGCGCGCACACATGCACTGAGCTAAACCGTGCAGAAAATCCAATCGTCCACTTTAGCGTGACATTTGAAGAAGTAAATACGTGAATTATTGAACAGATAAGAGGTTGATAGAGATGGATGGAGGAGGTGAGAAGTATGTATAAAAATACGGGTGAGGGTGGGGTAAAGTGGATACTGTGGCTTGTCTTATACGCCGGAACATATAGGTCTTTGAATGTGGTTGTTGGTTGGGGAAACTGGCTATTGTCAAGGGACACGGGCAAGTACTAACTGTTTGTACTCAGATGGAATATAAAGAACCAGTCAGGTGCTAGCTGCTATAGTCAGGTGCTAAGTGCTATGATCAGGTGCTAATTGCTGTAGCCAGGTGCTAATTGCTATAGTCAGGTGCTAATTGCTATAATAAGGTGCTAACTGCTATAGTCAGGTGCTAATTGCTATAGTCAGGTGCTAATGGCTATAGTCAGGTGCTAATTGCTATAGTCAGGTGCTAATGGCTATAGTCAGGTACTAATGGCTATAGTCAGGTGCTAATGGCTATAGTCAGGTGCTAATGGCTATAGTCAGGTGCTAATTGCTATAGTCAGGTGCTAATGGCTATAGTCAGGTGCTAATTGCTATAGTCAGGTGCTAATGGCTATAGTCAGGTGCTAAGTGCTATAGTCAGGTGCTAATTGCTATAGTCAGGTGCTAATGGCTATAGTCAGGTGCTAATGGCTATAGTCAGGTGCTAATTGCTATAGTCAGGTGCTAATTGCTACGGTTAGGTGCTTATTGCTATAGTCAGGTGCTAATGGCTATAGTCAGGTGCTAACAGCTAGTCAGGTGCTAATTGCTATAGTCAGGTGCTAATTGTTACGGTCAGGTGCTAATTGCTATGGTCAGGTGCTAATTGTTACGGTCAAGTGCTAATTGCTATAGTCAGGTGCTAATTGTTACGGTCAGGTGCTAATTGTTATAGTCAGGTGCTAATGGCTATAGTCAGGTGCTAATGGCTATAGTCAGGTGCTAATTGCTGTAGTCAGGTGCTAATGGCTATAGTCAGGTGCTAATGGCTATAGTCAGGTGCTAATGGCTATAGTTAGGTGCTAATTGCTATAGTCAGGTGCTAATTGCTATAGTCAGGTGCTAATGGCTATAGTCAGGTGCTAGCACGCTACTCAAGTGCTAACAGGCTGTCCCTGTTTGTTGACATGATCAGCTGGTATCTAAGCGAGCACGTATTGATCTATCGATTCGTTTCTGGTCGACCCAGCAAGGCGAGGGGGGAGAGGAAGGGTATCAGGGTTTATTGGCCAATTAGGGGGTGGGGTAGGTGGGTTCCGGTACAAGCTTTCAATCTGGTCAGCTGGTGACGTCAGATTGGTGTCGGCCTGGAAGCTGGTGGGTTTATGAGTGCAGTGACGTCAATTGGGCTACTGTATTTTTGTATGACTCTAAGGCAACCGGGTTCAAGCCAGAAGAACGTCCCTGAGTCCACCCAGCTCTGATGGGTGTCTAACTCACGTTAGGGAAAGTAAAGACGGCTAGATATAGTGTTGAGCACACTATCTCTTCATATGCCGAGATCCATGAAACAGATGAACTCTACTTCATCTGCACCACGTATCTTGGGCACGAATGGGAAACGATATGACTAGTACAAAAATAAAACCCTGCATATATTTTGTACTGTTGCCCCCCCCCCCCCCCCCCCCCATAACCAGACCACCTCACTTTGAAGACAAACAAAGGACAGAACTCAATCCTCGTGTCATTAGTTATCCATTAAATCACGTTTTTAAAAATCTCATGCGTTTTCATGCCTGAAATGTTGAAAGCAAATATTTTCCTAGCTAATGACGTTCTATTGATGTTTAATTAACGACTGATTAATGACGCTCAACTGATGTTTAATTAACGACTGATCAACGGTTAATTTTTGGCTGCTGACGTCATGATTATGATTATATCATC